ATTTTGATCTTCCTTTTTTTACAATTGCTACAATAGCTCCATTGTCACAAAGAAAGAGGATTTTCTTGCATTTCCATTCTTTATCCCATAAAAGAGCAGCTACTACTGTCGAATATAGTTCTAAAAATGGCATTGATAACGATTTATCGTTTAAAGAAGTTAATTCTTTTGGCCACGTCGAGCAAAACCATTTTGCATGATAATAACCTCCGTACCAATTGTGAAAGAAGCGTCGTTGTATAGTTGCATATCGAAGTTAGAAGTGTAATTACAGTCGCAAAACATGTTTATTCCGTTCCAATGATGTAGAAATCGGAGCCAAAATTCGAAGTCAACTCAACATTCTTTACGCAAATTTACATAGAAATGCAGTTCTTTAACCTTAGTGGATAATTTTATTAGATAGGAAACAAAGGATCTACCTGGCACAATCACACGTGATGCAAAGTTCAAATGGCGTTATAGTTGAAGTAATTCTCTTTTCGCACATTTTTGCTTTTGAAGTATGGAATTTGTAAATTTGCAAAATCTTTCTACGTTGTTCGCAGGTAATCTAGCCTCTAATTTATCTGTATCTAACACAATACCAATATTCAATGTACGTTAGTGGGCCCATGGTTTTGTTTGACGCAAGTGGAACACTTAATGGATTGAATAGCATGGTCATTAACGCCATTGTTCTTTTAACATTGGTCAATAGTAAGGAAGTCATCCAGTAAATGCAGAATATGTTTTACTTTGTAATTATGTTCTGCTTTGAAACAAATCACTGTGGAGATATTGTCAAATATTTTGGGCTACTACGGCATCTGAATGACAATCGCACATAAAAATAATAATAAGATTCCCATTTAAAAAAAGTAATGGCCATTGACTCGGTGACACTGGACATATTTTAAATACATTTTGAATGTCGAACTTACAGAGTTTTGTCCCTTTTTTGTATTTGGTAATGATACGAATTGCGTCATCTATCTTGACATACGACATAGAGCGTAAATCTTTGTCTATAAGGTCATTTAATACGAACGTTTTATCGTTGTGCGGTGCATACACAAAAAATAAGACTCTTTTTGTAAGAATATTGACCCTTAGCAACTCCTTACGGACTTACTCGATAATCATCAAAAGGTAAATGATCGAACGAACCATATACGAAACCGTTCGACTGTTAAATAGTTAAATAGTTCTTTATTAATAAAATCTGAAACCGTATCTTTCTGTGACCTAGCTCTTAAATTATTTCTACATTCCATTGTTTTAGTGTCGTCATATTTAACCATAGAAGCAAAATTAAAGCCATATTGTAACCCATTACATAAATAATCAACGAAATGTTTGTCGGGATGACTCATTAGTTCATGTTTTAGCTATTTGACATTGACCGGGGTAGTAGCGTGCATATCAAATTTAGTTAGTCACAGATGTCTTTGAAGCTGTCTGATTGGATGAAAATGTTGCTAATGGCCGTTTCCCACAAACAGACTGTGAATGTCTTGGCGAACAGCATTTGATGCAAACATGTGAGAAAGAACATGTGCGCTTGGTACACCCTCTATTGCTATTAAAATTGTTACAAATCTCTTTACCGTCTTGAAAATATTTTGGTCGGCGTCCTTATATATCGCTACGATCATCATTTCTTAAACTATTAACTTCTTGATGATTTGTTTTGTTTCTCAGCTGCAGTGAACAATATTCGGTAGTGTGTGGCATAATTTTCACGCTTTGATTTGAATCCCTGCCGCTGCGAAGGTGAATAAGCCACGATCACGTTTACTCCAATCTACTTTAACTTGATGTTTTCTTAGTAATGTTGACGCTTTGGCGGAAAACATTTTATGATAATCATAATATTTAGAGCCGTAAAAATTGCTTATGTCAATCATATCTTCTTCATATGCATCTAGTGCGGCGCGTCTTTCAAAATAGGCTTTTGCCATAATTCTTTTGTATTTGCCGAAAGCTTTGATAAATTCCTGAATGGTCAGTGTAAGATTTAATCTATGTTGGGTTTCCCTGGGAAATTAACCTCAATGCTGTCAGCAATTACGGTATGCGATTTTGGATATTCATAATTTGGTATAAGGAAAGCAGCAATATTTACATCCTTACCGTCAATTATCTGTCGCTGCAGAGATGAAGACACAATATCAATGTTGTTGAAATCGTATGATCTGGCTCCCTTGTTTATTTGTAAGGGCAAATTATTCTCCTGAATTCCGGAATGAGGAATGGTAGCGTTTACAACGGTATTAGACTGGGTGTACCAATTTTAAAGTGTAAATCCGTCTTTGTTTGTGTTTTGCTACTTCTCTCCAGGATTCCTCAAAAGAAGTTGGGTAACAGTACTTTGTAAAGCAATGAAGCATTGGGACATAGAGACGAGCGCGTTGCACATGTTATTTATCTGAATAACCTCCGGTTCTTGGTTGATAACTGGGCGTTGCTCCGTGGGTGGGGGATTGTTGGATTTCGATATCTGGATCTACTCTTGTTTGATTTTCAATAATTGTAAGAGAATAGGTTTACCAAGATCAGCAGGAACCTCTATATCAATTTTTTTAATTCCTGGATTAGATTTGTTTGATTTACTCCACGCGGATAGGTCCTCATTAGCGTCTACAGACGGATGTTCGTAAGGAACTTTACTTTTTGTTTGTCTCTTCGACTTTCTGTTAGCCATAATGTCAATAAAAGGGAATTGATTATCAAGTTAAAAAAGAAGTCCACTCAAGTGTGAAATATGAATACAAATATCCAAGTTTACTTAAATACAAGGAAGGAAACTACGTCGTAGCTAACACAATTTATGTTCGTGTTGCTATTTACAGTCTTGATGACGGACTAATATATAAAATCTCTCATTCGTAGAATAAATCAAACAGAAGTACACAGTACTGATATATTGTTACACAATTAAACAAAAAACTTGCTTCACAAAATTAAATAGTGTATTTCTTTGCAAAAAGATTGAGAATTAGCAAAACTGAGTTCTTGCCAAGTGTACCTCTTCTAAATAAGTAACAACCAATAAGAGTGGCACATGCAGACACGAGCTTCTTTACACGAATAAAGCACGCCTAAATTATATATAAGCTTACATTAGTAGTAAAATTGAAGATACGATTTCCTTGTGCACAACGCATGTTTCTTTCAACACGTATGCTCGCGACCTTATGCCTGAAAATTGAAATAATTATAAAACATTTGAGAACATAAAAATAAAAAGGACACAAAGAAACAACCAAAACATTTGATGGTCTACTTTGCCGCAGTGAGGTGCAGTGAGATGCAGTGAGATGCACAAAAAGTTTTCGCGCAGGTACATCATTTTAAGAACGAAAAATTAACAAGCAAAATGGATCGCTTAAATCATGAATTTACAACAGCATTGCTATTGGGCAAATACTACTCTAGAACTGGTAGTCTGCAATCACGGTTAAAATCAACACATGATACGAATTTTTTTTAGTTAACTAATGGTCAGATGGATTTTCAATGAGTCGAGAAGAAAAGAAAACTAAATCTTCTTGTGATTAGGATAAACTAGTTCATATATTACGGTTACCATACCGTATAAAAGTTATTTTGACATCGATTTATTATACATTTTGACAAGACGTGTATCTGAAGTTGTTGGCGGCTTGTCAGATAAAAAATTTAACAATAATATTTTACATGTTAGAAATGCGGTAAATCGGTTTATTTTATGAGTGTGATCATTTTATGCTTGGCCGATTGAAAGGTTTTGAAAAAAATCACAAAAGTTGGGACTATTATACTAATTAGTATAATAGTCCCAAACCAAAGATACAAAGTTAAAATATTGGGTTGTTAAATAAATTTGAGTTGACGTGAAACAATTAAAAAGACAGATATAGCCCTTATTCATGTTTAAAAGAGAGGCGAAAGCATGGTGTGAATACATTGTTGATGTTGTTTGTTTTTGCTTGCTTCACTCTTTTTTTATTCTTGTTTTGTAAAATACCGAATAATGAAGTTATAGATTATGGCAAAAGTAGTTTACCGATATTCAAACATCATAGATCAATTATAAGACATATAAACAAGATTATGTGTCAACAGGACACCATGACCCGCTCGGACTATTAATTTTCCATATTTAGTGAACCATGAAATCGGGATAAATTACATTTCAATATTTAGTGAAAGAAAGTCGAAAGATACCAAAGGGACATTCAAACTCATAAGTCGAAAATAAACTGACAACGCCATGGCTAAAAAAGAAAAAGACCAACAGACAAACACAAAACACAACATAAAGACCGAGCAACACGAACCCCACCAAAACCTGGGGGTGATCTCAGGTGCTCCGGAAGGGTAAGCAGATCCTGCTCCACATGTGGCACCCGTCATGTTGCTCATGTTAGTACAAACCCGGTAATAAGTCTAAATCGGTAAGTCACATTCGGGGAAAAGGGGACGGGACTGTAGTTACGACATTAGGAACATATCCGCTATCATCTGTGAAACGGATATTCCATAACGGTCAACCAAATTCGTGATGGTCCATGAAATTTACGAAGGGATGATTTCAACTTCACCACTTGGAACTCTTGGTTTAATAGCTTCCTTGTGAACCATGAAATCGGGATAAATTACATTTCCATATTTAGTCAACTATGAAATGGGGATAAATTATATTTCCTTATTTTGTGAACCTTGAAACTGTGATAAAATAAGTCTTATAAAAACCGTATTTTGGCATAAAGTTGAATTTGTTTAATCAAAATTCAAATGTGTATTAAATTTCAATCTCATGTGACCACAACATCAATGTAAAATACTTTTACCAAAAATTGTACATGCTGAGAATATAGTTGTTTCACACTATAACATTTTCTTGTTCAATTAACCAAGAAACCATGGACAAAATCGTTATTTGGCATATAATGATTATAGTTCACATCATGATAAAAATGCATAATTAAGTTGCAATTTGGTTGCGGCAGGCATTGTATTTATCATGAAAAGGGTTAACTGTGTAATCAATTTATTAAATAAAATAAAAAATACAATGTAACATACCACATTACAATCTTGTATATCCTATTTTGGAATGAAACTTAAAAACACAAACCAACACGACACCAACCACGACGACAATAACGAAGATGATTATGATCAAGGCCCATGTGGGTAAACCTCCATCTACAGAATCCGTCGGAACAATACCAATGCATCTTTTAAGTTCATGGCTGCAGATGAGATATTTTGACTTGCCGCAGTTTGGACATTTTGGCGATTCTTCATATTCATACAAGATTCCGACATAGTTACTCCGATAGCCATCTTTGTTCTCCATCCAAGGAAAACAATCCATGATGCGGTTGGCAGTGTGGAAGGCTGTCAGGTTGTATTTGTCAGTTTCGGAAGTTTTCCCTAAAGGTGGATAAAATTCCGGGTTCTCTCCAAGTCTTTCTTGCTTTTGTCTAAATTTTTCCCATACGTAGTCTATGAAAGCATGGTGTAAAATAAATGCCGGGTCTCTGGCTGAACTGTTTAAAATGTCCATCGTCCCTCCGATCCATTCGTGAGGAAGGTTATGTTGGCCTTCTATTGTTAATTTTTGCTCCGCTTTCCCTAAATGATCTATAACATCTGCAACATAACGTACTTTGATGTCATTTTCAATTATATTAATGATATCAGGGGATGGCAGTTTGGTATGGTTAATTCGACTTACTTGACGTTGTAATGGACAATTGTTTATATCTCGCCAGTGTTTAAATGGACCAGAATTAACAATTCCATCGCCGTTTCCTAGAAATTGATCGGTAAAAATAACAGTGTGCCTTGGGTCAGTAATATTTTGATTATCGAGTACAGAATCCCAATAAGGTAATGTTACAGAGTTATCTTGTTGTCGAATTGCGGTCTCAAATCTGTAAAACATATGTGTGAAATATTAATATGCTGTAAAACGCTTAGAATCATTTTATATTATATAATGCGCTGTTATAAATACTGTGTAATGAATAAAATAGATAAGAAACAAGTAAGAAAAAAATGTTGAAGAAGCATTTCGTGTAAGAAATTAAAAACTTGTATGAGATAATTTTTTTATTCTGAAGCACGTTGTTTATAACATTCCATTGCTTTTCACAAAAAATTATTTAGAGTTAATCCATACAAAATTTAACTCGATGGAATACCTGCCAATCAATTTTGGATATGGAATCGTCATTTTGTTTATTTCGGTTTGAATTCTGTATTTTCGGTACATTTCACATATGTCTTATTTGTCAGTATAGTCGAGTTACTCGTGATTCGTCTACAGGGTTTTTGTTTTATGTTGTTCGTTGTCATGTGTGTTTACTGTTTGGTCTTACATGATCTTGCCTTATATTACAGTTATTTTATTTTTTTATTTTCTATATGTATGTAAAAGTTAAGATAAAAAATAAGCTTCTTCATTTATATGATTTTAAGTTTAAAGCAACTATATGCACAGGACTTTTTTGTTTTGATTTAGAAGAAAAACCGACATGGTTAGAAAATACAAATAATAACACCATTACAAACACAATTCCATTTTAATATTCTTGTCATGGTTAGAAAATACATAAAATAACACCATTACAAACTCAATCCCAATTTGATATTCTTGTACGTGTCTATAAATCAAACAAATCTATTTTATTTTCAGAAATTCACTTGTGATAATATAAACGTCACAAAAAATACGTCACTTTTTGTGACGTTGATCCATTCATGTGACGCGCAGTTTATATTTCGTTAGTGGTGTCCTGGAGTGCTGTCGTAAATTCATGGGAGGTGTCCGTTGTTATTCTGCGGTTTACATGTTGTAATGTACTATTATATTATTTATTTATGTATTTCTCTGTGCTGAGTGTTCTTTCGTTTGTTTGTACTGTATTCCTGTCACGTAGTGTTGTCATTTCAGCGGTATTTTTAACATTGCCATATAAGCGGGAGGTTTGACTAGCCATAAAACCAGGTTCAACCCACCATTTTTTCTTAAAATGTTCTGTACCAGGGCAGGAATATGGCAGTTGCTATCTACAGCCCGTTTCTATGTATGTTGGCGTTTGCTTTTGTTGTAGTTCAGTGTTTCTGTTGTTCCGTTGTTTTCCTCTTTTAGTTTATGTGTTTTCCTCGGTTTTAGTTTGTTACCCGGATTTGTTTTTGCTTAATCGAATTATGAACAGTGGTATACAACGGTTGCCTTTTATTTAACTTTGTATCTCCCACATCGAATTTCCATTCAAACCAAACAATTATGCACGAACTATATGAACTGTTATCCAAACGTATTTTAGAAAATTTATAGACCAATGCATTCTATTTTCAATCGTCAGTTAAACATTTATTTTAGAAACTTTCAAGTTTTCCCGGTTTTTGATGAGGTACGTGTTGCTCAGTCTTTGGTTTTCTGTGTAATATTTTGTAGACTTTTTCGTCTTCTCGTCGTTTTTCGTTTATTTCCATGGACAAACGATGTTGGTACGAATTCGATTTTGCTATAGATTATCATTAACAACAATGCTTCGAATGGTCAGTTCGATAAAAAAAATGGTGATCATTGGTTAAATTAAATATGCTTGAAAATAAAGAAAAATTAAAAACTGTTAAAATACAAAAAAAAATATAACTTGATTACCCCATTTACACGCATAAACGTCATGTACAACGTTTCATTTTCGTGTGCTAAAGGCCGGTTTTTTATGTCTTTATAACGTATTTTTTTCTCCAGTCATCGTAAAATTTGGTAAGCATATTGCTTTTGTTTTAGTTATTGTCATGTTAACGCCAAATCAACATTACTGAAACCGTTAAACCGAAAATGTCAAGGAATGTGGAAAGTAGGCATATATCATACCACAACTCCTTATTTATATATATATATATATATATCGGGTTTGTGCATTTATATCGTGAAATCGGAAACGCGGAGAGGAATATTATTTATAGTATACTAGTATAATGTACATTTACTTCATTCTTGGTTCATGATATTTTCTTGACGGAAACATGAATATAGTCACTACAGCAATGACTTCAAAAGGTATAGTCATCTTTGTCACAACGGGAAAATAGATAAAAACAAATTTCAATCTAAGTTTCGACTGGCTGTATATCAAATTAACATTGTTTGATTATATAAAATAAAAATTGGTAGTAAAATTGCATAAGTTTATCTTCTTTAAATAACATAGTTTATTACATTTTCCGTTGGGAAACAAGATTTTCCGATCTTATCTGAAGGTATATCCGTTTTGTCACAACGTCCGCAAAACGTAATTGATTTCATGTTCGTGTTCTAAAATTAATATTAAAGTATGATTATGTGTATCTAGTTTTATCAGAATAAAAGTATGAAATATAAGTTATATATAGAACAAGCCACTTATAAAAACAAGGAGTTTTAAGTTACAAATTAGATGTTGATCAAATGAGATTTTAAAAAATAATACCGGGATCATAGTTTTCGAGTATTAATTTTTTTTTACATAAGGAACGACGTTTATCTGCGTATTTCAAATCGTTAAAAGAAAAATTTTAATGTAATCGCTAATTGAAAAAAAGAGGACGACCGAAAAACATGTATAAAAATCGAGACGACCTTTTCTTAAAATTGTATAAAAGTTATAATAGAAATCTTTTAACGGATAACCTACTTTATAAAAATGTTCGTCTTTAATTTTTGAACCTGCATAGACACGACTTTAAATTATTATATTCACGAAAAGACAATATTTCTATATTAAAGTTCACGTGAGAAGAGCCGACCGATGAGCTCGAAAAACTTAGATGTGAAAATAGGTATATTTTGTAAAATTGTAACATGACTATGTGGAACACTCCAAAAAATAGTGACCTGAAATATTTTTAGATTTTGTATGTACATAATTTTTCTCATTCTTTTTTTCATTTATATGAAGCAAAGATTAACATGTTTTAAATTTTAGTTTCACAAGCTTCTAATGCAATTATCTCAATAAGAAATGAACATAAAACATCATGTATTTCAATGTATATTTCTAATGACACAGTTTTACAATTTTTTTTTAATGTACGATTGTCGTTTAGAAAAACTTTTTATCAGTATCGTCACAGCCATTGTTGTACTATTGATTTTCTCGACTTTTTCATAAGGAGAGTGACTTTTCTATTGTTATTGGTCATCGGTTTTGCACTTTCACTAAATCGAAGAAAACGTTTTTGCTTAAATAATTTGACATATTTTACCACAAATAAGATAGCCACAGATATCATTTTAACTGGAAGCAAAGGGGGAGTATATGTAACAGTAAGCATCCTTTCCAAATTTGTGCACACATTCTATATAAATTGCAGATAGATTATTATTATTTTTTTTACATATTATGGTTTACTTACAAAAGAAGGTAGACTCGATGCCACCCGAGGAAATTTGAACCACGATGGGCTGAACATAATGTACGATTACTGTGAACCAATGCCAAGGTGTCATATTTATTTGGTTTAACTGTCTAAAAATATAAATAGAAAATACTAGTAGTAGTTGGAGAACTGCATGACCATGAGCAAATTTTGTATGCTATTTAATTTGACATATATTTGTGTGAACATACGACCTTACAAAATAGCTCGCCTCAAATTTGATCTGACGCACATAAATCGTATGATGCATCAAATCATTTTTTAAATATTTCAATATTTTGTATTTACTTGCGGAAATGGTTTTTTAATAGAGCAAAATATATATGTTTCCTAGATTTCCTCAAACTGTTCATTATAGATCGACATTTTAGATCATATCTTTAATTTTTTATATCTTTGTTGTTCTCTGTTCTACTTAAAATGAGCCGAGAATCTTAGAATAAGTTAAAAAAAAATTGTTTTAAAAAAAATTCACAACTTAATCATTTAATTTCATGTAATAAGTATTTAAATTAACTGTAAAAGTAGACCTACCGTGTCATTTTTCAATTCATTAAGAGCCCTGAAAAAAGTCGAAAGCTCTTTTAGACTCCATGTGCGTATTTCGCGCCGTTTTCGAATCGGTTTTGAACGATCTTGAAGGGCTGCTTTCCAAAGATACTGCAACCAAATTTGTTGTTCTTGTGTTAATGAACAGTAATATTCCTTTGACAAGTCCTGATAACAATCACTAAAATTTATTTCACTCAACATTATACATTGGGATTCAATTCCGTTTATTACTGCTTGATTTAGCACAACAGAAAAAAAGAAAAGAAGATCTCGGATCATTATTAGTTTTAAACGTAAAACTTACTGACGAAAAAAAGCCAATCGGCAATCCTCGGGTGAATCCGCTACTCTCCTTCGAAGGTACGGAATCGGCCGAGTTGTGACGAATGGGAAAAAAGCAAGGCGACCGATTGTATAGTCTAGATAAAATATCACATGATATTGCTCAAACTTTATTTTTAAAGTATTTATTTTATTTGAAAACGTAGCTAAACTATTTATTCCGATATTTCAACTGAAGAAAAACTGATGATATTTATAGAAACAAACAAAATGAATTTGGGAATACAGAAACCATTACGTTACAAACTTGATTTTTTGAGAACCGTATATGAACGGGACAAAACAAAAATAGGCGTATACGAAGAGTTACCACAAGAAACCGCCCTAGACATTGTTGAATTAAATGAGCATTGTGCTATATGAACACAGTATGAGGAAAATAATAATGTTATTTGGCACCATTTTACGAAATTTTTCATACACACGTAACGAGGCCGACATTTTCTTAAAAGCAATCAAGTTTTGATCAGTTACTTTTAGATAACAGTTTTTTCATGTATATATCATATTTCATAAATTTAAACAATTTTCGAAAATTATTACGATAAACAATTAAATCGTCAACAGGATTCCCAAAAATTGCAACATTAAACAATTGCCATTCTTTCTTTTTTTAAATATTAATCCATTTTTTCGAACACTATAACCGTCAGTTGTCAAGAGTCATTTTAAGTCCAAAATTTTAACGGAAATGAAGGTCTTATTCCACCAATACGTATATTCATTTAAAACGATTTAAAGAGATTTCGTTAAAAGATATTTAAACCCTTGCCAATACCAGTCCGTTCATTTTTTTTTTTTTTGTTCAACTAGAAGTCTAGAGAGATATGCCTTGTAGTCGATGTAAGCCGCTGTTTGAAACTTCTGAATGCTGAGTATTGATACAATACATACATGTAGAATTTTTATTAACAAGTGGTCTATTATTTCAAGTATTTTTATACACACATAACTGCAAAAACCTGCCAAAATTATTATCTGTAAACATGCAGTATTCTCAAAAAATGATCTTCTTGTGGTGTGTACATTTCTTAGTTGGTAGATACACATGTTTGTCATTACATCTCGGATATCAATGGACTTAAAATTTCCATTACTAAAAATTTACATCAAATTAGAATTTATAGTCAATATCTATTACAAATAGAGAGATATGTAATGTGGAATCTACGAGTCCACCTGTAGGCGTGTATTAAAACCGTGGTGTATATATCCGTCTTTTTCGTTAATGTCAATTATAAAGGTAACGATATCGAAATTTTGATTTAAACATTTCTTTATGACTGAAAAAAATCACTTTTTGAGATATAAATATAGGGGTATGTAGGGTATACGTAAATGAGACAAAAATCCAACTACAAAAGAAAAAAATGCATCAAGAGGTCATTGTTACCAACCACCGGAGTCTAAATTCAACTGAAATGTGATTATTTCAGAACAAAATGTTCGTGTTTTAATGAATTAGATGGAAGTGATATGTCGAATATTTTTGTAAATAATTGGTTTTTGATTAGCTTTTTCAGAAGACTTTTCTTATTTTAAAGTCATGTTAACGATGAAAGGGCAATATTTTGTTTTATGAAGGTTGGAAATATAAGTATCAGATGGCGGAAAAGGGTTGGTCTGACAATGTAATGACTATATGCCCCATGCACTTATTAGGAAGTGGAGGGGGCATACAAACAGACCTAGTGATTGAACAGAATATAAAAAAAAACATAGTAATGATCAGCTTGAAATGTCTAAATACATTCTGATTATAACAAACTTAAAAAGACTAAATGAGAAACTTCACATCAAACGCAATATAAATTGCCAGAAAAAGATTGAATGAGAAACTTAACAGCTAAATATGCAATTTCTTTCAGTTCATGGAAAGGAAAGAACATTTCTCAATATTCAAAGAAAAACACAGGAGTATCAGCACCTGGTGTCATTCCGAAATAGACAGTATAGAAGCTAAAATCGACGAAAAGCTACAACTCTATCTAGTCACTGTTTATATATAAGCAGCACATAAACAGTAACAAAAAAGGCTGTTAACCTGTGAAATTTCGGACAGCAGCAATTTCAATATTTAAAGTTATCAGATTAACGAAGAAAACAGAAAATACATGAGACTAAACAGAAAACTGCACTTCCATTAGACCAGTACATCCTGCCCTTACTATGAAATCACATTCTCTCACACCTTCTCTCCCTCTCTTCATACCACTCTCATTCATATACCCTCACCCTCTCAATCATTCTCATTTTTCTCTCTCCGTTTCTCATCCTTCAACCCTTTCGTAACAACCTTAGCCAACTACCACCTATATGTATACCCCTTCTGCTTGGTGTTAAGTCCCTATCAGAAAAGTTGGTTAGTAGATGAATACGATTTTAATAAGATATACCAGATATAAGAACCGATATTTTAGAAATATGAAAATATGGAGGAAATTTCGAAAGTAATTGACATAAAATATAAATACATGATACTGAGCCACTTTGGAAAAATGTAGTTTTTATTTTCTACACATAATGGTCATCATAGCATTCGTACAAAAGATTAACAGCCAAACTGTGTACTGTAAATTTGAAAATAGAATGCTATTTTGATTGATAATCATTATGAATGCCAAAAGTGTATATTTAACTCTAATTTTGAAGATTTTTGTGTGTGTTGATGAAAAAATATGTTGCAAAAAATGAAAAAAAAAATAAATAAAAAATTCCAAATGGTATAAAAATCCAAACAGTAAATATATAAAGCAAAAATCCGAATGAAAAAATGCCAAAGTTTAAAAATACCAAATGGTATTAAAAATACCTGTCTGTTTGTACTAACAAGCCGGCATGTGGGTAAGCTGGACTTTAAGGTGTTGGTTCACCAAGACAAATGCCCACAGTAAGACACCTATCTTTTGCGTTTGGAGTACCAGTTTTTGAGTCTCCGATTTGACTTGGGGGCTTAAATTTAACTGAGATAAAACTGAAAAAAAGATTAAAACAGTATCCAGTACAATTAAAAATTTTGTTATAAAAAAGTTAGTCAAGTTTATCTGCTGCATCTTGTGTCGTGTTTAAGATATCTATAAAGTATACATATTGTGTTACAGAGTTTAACCTTGAAGCCATTTTTTTTCTATTTCCTCTGAGTTTGAGCTTATAATATCAATAAAAGCAGATGCGACATGAACAAATAGAACACCTCTGCTTAGTTATTTATCACACACGATCTTTGATATTGAAATCTTATTTCATATGTTACATAAACTATACTAAGTAAATGGTCCATTAACATAAGGTCAAGGTTAGGTAAATTCTGTCAAATGGACATGTATACCTTAAATTGGTCAACTGTCAATATAAAAAAATCGTAAAGGGTTCCGCAGAACCCTGTTTCTCGCCTGCGATTACTGCTGTCAGTGTAAAAGTGTAATGTTGACTTAAAAAGTGAGTCCATTTATCAGTAAAATACAGAATTTTAAGAAAAATTCAGACTTTTTCTTTGGATGCTATTTCTTGGTCTTGAAGATTAGCTTCTGTCCAAGTTTCATAAAAATCCATGAAAGTTAACAAACTTATCATGTCAAACAAATTTAATCCCAGACTGTCAGTAAATGTTAACTGTAAAAATACTGAAAAGAAAATATATTTTCAAAAGTTTGCTTCAGACAATATCTCTTAATCAAAAAAAAGTTTCATAAAATTCCATGAAGGTTTGACAAAGTATTTGATGTGTAACAAACTTTAAACCCAGACTACATCTACTTGTTAAATATTAAACAAGAGTGCACACGCTGAAACGTCTCGCCTGTTTTACTGACCATTGATTTTCTGTTGAAAGTCTTTAAAGATAAAGGTTTTACTACAAGTATCACATAAACTCAACATTTGTAAAGATCCATGACAATGAGGTCAATGTCAGATAAAAACTGTCACACAGACAGGTACACCTTACAATTATTCCATACACCAAATATAGTTGACCCATTGCTTATGGTAATTGAAAAACAGACCAAAACACAAAAACTTAACATTGACCAATGAACCATTAAAATGAGGTCAAGGTCAGATGACACCAGCTAGACAGACATGTACACCTTACAATCATTCCATACACCAAATATAGTTGACCTATAGCTTACAGTATTTGAAAAACAGACCAAAACACCAAAAATTAACAATGACCAATGAACCATGAAAATGAGGTCAAGGTCAGATGAAACCTGCCCGACTGACATGCACCCCTTACAATCATTCCGTACATCACATATAGTTGAGCTGCTGCTTGTAGTATCTGAGAGACGGACCTAATCACGTAACTTTAACCTTGATCACTGATCCATCAATTGAGGTCGAGGTCAGGTCAACCCTGTCTGACGGACATGTAGACGTTGCAAAGGCACCCATATACCAAATATAGTTATCCTATTACTCATAATAAGTGAGAAATTAACATGACAAAAAAACTTTTTTCAAGCAGTCACTGAACCATGAAAATGAGGTCAAGGACAATGGGCATATGACAGACGGAAACTTCGTAACATAAGGTTTCTGCATACAAATAGTTTACGCCGCCGCCACCGCCGGGTAGTAATACATATGTCTCGCCTACTGCGACTTTCGTCGCAGGCGAGACATAAAACTTAGTCAATTTATTAGTAAAATACAGAAAAATGAAAACAATTATTTTCAAAATTTTGCTCTGGATACTGTATTTTAGTCATTAACAAGCTTCTGTCCAAATTTCATAAACTTCAATGAAGGTTTGACAAAGTTATTGATGTCTAAAAAAAACTTTAAACACAGACTGAACCTAAATGTTGACGCTGACGACGAAGAAGACGGAACCTTAGGATCGCTGTGTCTCGCTTTCGAGACATAAATGTCGAAGGCTCGACAAAAATGAATCAAGGTCAAGGACAACATGACTACTTCATATTATTTATAATGAATCTGTATACTGATTACTTATCTCTTGTATCTTCCAAAAAAAAGGTTTATATAAATTTGTTCATCCTACCAACAGTTTAGC